TTAGGGAACATAATCATCATCTACAAAACCCACACTCCCCCGCGTTTGATCGTGAGTCCAGCCCAACTGAAGTGCCCAACACGCCCACTCTAGAAGCAAAGCCTGCTTCGTCAGCACATGATGGTGAGTGCGTGGCCTCGCATGGCTGCGACCCCCCTTTTCGCATTGACCAGGCAACCCCCAAATCTCCCAATGCCGTTGTTTCAACGCCGTAGCTCAGCTGCAGCGTCGAGCTAGGGCCCACTCGTGTTCGGATGGAGGCTGGGGGACGCCGGGGCGCGGGAGGAAAGGGGGCTAAGAAAAGGGGGGTGGTCGGCACTGCAAGCAACCAAGTCAGCTCGTGTCGGCCAACTGGCTGGACCACCGCAGCCACACCACCCAAGCCCGATCTGGCTTGGGCTGTTGAACCAGTTCTTGACAAGCTTGCGCCGGCTGTTGCCTACTTTCACGAGTCATTGAACATATCGGATCCCGAAAGCTTGGACCAGTGAGCTCCCGGAGGCCGGACATCCTCGGGCTCCGGTCCCTCGTCAGCGGTTGTTCGGGTCATCCCACAGCCCTACACAACTGCCTGGCCTGGCGATATATGGCTTCCCGGGACCGCACAACTTCGGTCTCCGAATTGAATCATCGATTCTTACGGGACCTGCAGCCGACGGCATCGCTATGCCCCCCACCATGGCATCGAGTCCTTCAGGGGAGAGCGGGGAATCTGACATTGAGGGCGAGAACGATGCTCAGCGGTCACTCTCACGTCCAGAGACCAATCGGCCTGGCCTCCAGCAACGTATCATCCGCCTTGCAGTGAGTTACCGGTGGCTCGGCTCGGGGCAGATGTGCCAGGGATTCAACGGCATCAAGCTCCCGAGGGCTTGAAAGCCACCCCGTGTCTTGGCCTGGCTAACCTTCTTCACTCTCCCTATAGTGCCAGTCGTGCCGCCAACGAAAGGTACGCCCCTTGTTCACATCTTGTTCCTACCCATTTACCACCTCCTGACATGGCACACTCCGCGTCCAGATCGCTTGCGACCGCAAAGTCCCCTGCTCAAACTGCTGCAAAGCTGGCCTTACGTGCAACTACGAACCACGGAAGAGATCAACGGTCAAGGCTCAGAGAATACACATCACCAGCCAGTAGTATGTCTTGCACCATCACGACGTCTTCCTCTTCCCAGCTGACCTCGTGGTAGCGAGAAGAAAATCGACACAATACAGGAGCAGACCAACCAGATTGTGAAGCTGCTGAGCAGACTGACTGCCAATGATGCCTCCTCTGATAGTTCCATCCATCCTTCGGTGAAACCAACATTCTCCAGGGCGGCCAGCGAGGCCATTCAACCCCCCTCGCCGTCCTCGACGACCTCGACGCCGATCCCATCCCAGGGCCAGTTTGAGGGCGAGTCTTCCTTGTCGGCACATACCGCCTTTGCCAACAGCTTGATCGAAAGGGCAGTCAGCACAGCACCACTAGAGACCTTCTCCCCCGAAATGGCCACCACCCTTGATGCTCTACATCGGCTTATCGAATCACAAAAAGTCGAATCTCATGCCTATGAAACGACGTACAGGCTCGCCCGACCGGATCCTCACCCTGTTCTCTCCCTCGAACAAAACCCGATGCCCCCTATTCAGGGGGTCATGGCCGTGCTGCAGCTCATGAAGAGTGAGTACAGGCATCATGCCCAACAAGATATCAGACCCCAATTACTGACAGCTGCGTTGCCAAGCCAACCCACATTTTGAAGATGTCGGATTCCACATGTACATGAAAGCCGAAGACTTCATCGGCTACACTCGGAAAGTATACTTCCCAGGTGGTGGCTACAGTGCGGCCGACTTCATCATCGTCAACGGTGGCCTCATAGACATCTTCCTCCGCAGCATCCTTCTCGAAGAGGACGAGTCGAAGCAGGATATTCTTCGCCAGCACATGAGCCTCTGCGAAGCGAACCTGGAGACGGCTCTGTCTCGGCTGCCGATACACATGCCAAACACCATGGATTACTGTGTGGCCCTACTCGTTGGGGTGAGTGGTGACCCTCGAATCTGCCAAGCATACCCACTGACCAACACAGGTGAATCACTGCATGAAATCGTCAAAATCGTCGGCCGCCTGGGCCCTCGTCACGACTGCTATGCAGATGTGCATCTCAGCGGGCTACCACCGCGCTCCCTCGTTCAAGACCGACACACCTCTCCTTCGCAAACAAAAGTCATGGATATTTTGGTCTCTGTACAGCACTGAAAAAGGACTCTCTCTCCGTTTGGGTCGACCCTCGTCTGTTTCAGACTACGACATCACACTACCCCTACCCGACCTCGAGCAAGTCGATTGCAAGCCATACTATTCCTGCACCATCCGCTGGATCAAGTTGTCCAGCATACAAGGACGCGTCTACAAGATGTTGTACAGCCCGGCTGCTCTGTCGGAGCCGCAGGACGCACGGTCAGCGTGGGCCACATCTCTCGCGGATGAAGCAAAGGAGCTCTACAGAAATGGCGAAGTGGGATATAGTGTAAGTGAACCAAGAAGCCAGCTCCGTGGATTACTCGTGGAATACTAACCATTGTGCGAAGACTGAGGGCGAGACGAATAGCACATGGAAAACCAGAGCTGGCAACCAGGTTGAGCTCGTCTTCTTCTCGGAAGAGGTGCTTTTCCTCTCCATTCTGACCTTGATTCTCAAGGCCATGGCACCTGATGACGGAACGTCGACAAACTTCTCTGCCGAGTGTATCCGCACGGCTCGTACAGGCCTGGAACGACACCAGCAGTTTATAGAAGCGATTGGGATGGAAAAGGGACACTACATTGATATCTACGTCAACTGGTATGCCCGCACTTCCACAGCGTCTCGACCATAACTACATTTGCTAACATTTGGGTGCTCCAGGACCATCCTCTACAACCCCTTCGTTCCCTTCATTGTCGTCTTCTGTCACCTCATCGAGGCCGGAGATCCGGGCGACTTGGCTTTACTCGACGGCTTCGTGCGGACGCTCGAATCCGCACAACACTTTTCCGCTGCCACCGCGCGTATGTACCGCCAGTCCAAGATGTTCCACGACGCCGCATTGCAATACACGAGAATCATGGCCCCGAGAAGGGCCGTGCCTCAATGTCAGGACAACAGCTTCGAAGAGTTTGACGCATACATCCAATCACTGGGAATGCCGCCGTTGGGCGCCATGGGGAATCCTGGAAACGAAACACTCTTTCACAACCTTGACATTGATCAAGGAATGGATATGCTCCAGAGTGCACCAGACATGTCCTCCTCCCTGGGGAGACTTTAGTTGGGGCGTACCTTGGTAGGTAGGTGGGTAGGCTTGACGCAGGCCTTTGAGGGCTTTGATCTTAGCGTTAGGGGTTCTTGGAGTTTGACACATCATTGATCTTATTAGAGGTTTAGACAGCCGGCGAAATACTTCAGAAACAGCGTTTTTCTCGCCGCACACCCCAGCCTAGGCATCACGGTCCTTGAACGTTCTGCGCGATTGTATCCGCCAAGCTAGTCCACCCAGGATGACCCAGGTCTCGAAGCATCGCCTCTGCCTTGGCCCGCGGCTCGATGATTGTCTGGTCCTCGCCACCCGAAAAGTCGGCAGGCAGCTTTCGCCCCGGCTCGATTTCTCGCATGATAGCCAGGATCCAGTCCCAGCAGAACTTCCCGCCAAAGGCAAATACCCTCTGGCCGCGGACACGCGGCAATACCCCAGCAGCGACATGAAGCAGAGCCGCATCTTCGACGTTGACGAAGTATTCTGGGATAAGCTATTAGGCTGGTGCACGAATGCAGACGAGGTGAGGACGGCTTACGGGCCTTGACCGAGGCAAGAATGGGACGAGCCTCGCCGTTCCACAGTGACCGAACCATGCCGCTGCTCGTTCGGTAACCCTGGCTCACGGGGTCGATGCTGCGTCCGAGGATGAAGTTTGGTACAACTGGGCTGTTTAGCACATGCCGGCACATCCGACAGGGTCACGTACTCGTGTTGACATCCAAGTCTGGCCTTGATGCCCGGTTGTCCACGTGGAACTTCCACACTGCACGCTCTGATTGCACGTTGCTCGCCTCATAGACGATAATTGGGCGGTATGGCTCGTATGGCGGTCCAGACCATGCCTTCTCAACGGCCTTGTCGTTCCACGTCTCCTCGGTTACGGTCATCGGGCCATCGAGGAATCCCAACGAAGCGGAGGCAGACGACGTCAGCACGAAGCGCTTCACCGATGGTTCGGCATATGCAGCATTCACCGCATTGACAGCGCCCTTGACGGTGATGGGGATGACCTTTTCGGGATCGTTGTTGAAGATCATGAAGGCTGCTGTGTGCACGAAGATACTGACACCTGTGGAAGTATTAGCAAACGCTCACACCCATCCGGTTCGACCAGGCCTTACCCTTGACGACTTCTTCGAACGCTCCGTCAGCTTCCATTGCAGGGACAGCAACTAGCTCGAATTGGCCTGCGCCGTGAAGCCGTGTGAATGCATCCTGCACCCACGCCGACTTCTCCGTGTCGCGCACCGTCCCACGGACCTTGTAGCCCTGTCGAAGGTATTGGTCTGCGACATGCGACCCAAGAAAGCCATTGACGCCGGTGACGAGGACGGTCGAGCCCTTTGGCACAGCGGGATTGTCGATGGCCATGGTTGCTGGGGTTGTCTTGGCGGATGCTGAGGGGGGGATCAACAGACATCGTAGTGAGATCTGCATCTGGCATTTTATACATGGAATGCCCTGTCATGAAGTCCGCGGGGAAGGTGCATGCTATTGGTGCATCATTTGCAGTGCTCAGCCACTGCTCCTCGGCCTGGCTCCGCGGCGATGTGTCACGCCGGCGACTGGGGAGGATGCACGTCTTGGTCCGCAGATTGGCAGGGCAGATCACAGCTTGGCGGTAGACACGACTCCAACCTCTTGCTGCCACCATCCAAAATGATGAATCGTAGGTGCAAAAGCAAAATGTACAGGCATGATCCTGCTTATAGGAATGCATTGCCTGGGAATCGAACCCAGGGCTCCCCGATGGCAACGGAGAATTTTACCACTAAACCAGCAATGCTTGTTATCCTTGGATGAGGGTCTCGGCAGTTCCAGCCCTCATCAGGGTCTACTCTACGGGTCCAGAGGTGGCTCTCTCGGCTGTGGGGTCGCCAAAAGTTCCTTCGCGATGGCATCAAATCCCTCATCTTTGCCCTCCCAAACAACCCCATTTCACACGGCCGCGGCCGCTTGCCTTCCCGCCTCACGTCCAAACACAGCGCACTCAAGAAGCGACGAGCCGCCCAGCCTGTTATCACCGTGGATCCCGCCTGTGATCTCCCCTGCAGCCCACAGACCCGGGACGGGGACCAGGTTTCCCTCCTCGTCCCGCCGCAGCACTTGGGTCCGCTCGTTGAATGCCACGCCGCCCATGGTGAAGTGGATGATGGGCGTTGCTGTGCCGATGCACACCTCCTCCTCTCGGTTTTCCTCGCCGGGCTTCAGGCGCCAGTGCCCGAATGTCTTGCGTCCAAGATCATCCTTGCCATCGGCAACGGCCTGCGCGTAGGCGTCGACAGATTCAATGACAGCGGGGTCAAGCTCGCGGACCTTTTTCTTCTCGACGAGTCCCTTGAACAGATAGAAGCCCAGATGGGAGCCGGCCGCTTCACATGCTCCAGGGTCAAGGAGCAGCTTGATTTCCCACTGCCGAACATCGCTGCCAGGTTCCTCCTTTCGTGCCAGACCCATGATGGCGCGACTGACGACCTCCCTGGTCTGTAACTCGTCGATGAAGCGCTTGCCGCTGGGTGCCAGGAGAATGCCGCCCTCGCCGCGCAGAACCTCGGCTGCGAGAAACTTGTACTGTGACGTCGGGTCTTTGGGGTCGACGAACCCTGTGGGATGGATCTGCACGCTGTCCATGTCGACAAGCTCAGCGTTGACGGCCTCGAGAAGGCCGTGAGATGCGGGACGGGCCTCGTTGGTTGAGGGGATTCCCGCAAGGTCGGGGCGGTACTTGGCCAGCAGGCCGTGTGCGTCGCCTGCGAAGCCGCCGACGGCGAAGACAACGGGGCCTTGAAGGTGCGCCTCGGTCGTCGACTCGCCGTCCTTGCGGACGAAGTGCACGCCGCGGACCTGTCCATCAGAAACGTCCAGCGATTTCACCTCAGCAGAGGTTGTGAGCTGAAATGACGGGTTCTCTCCAAGCGTCTTGAGGAGGGTTGTCACAATGGCGGCGCCCGGGGGAAGCTTTCCTGCACCACGGTGCGTTCTGGGGAGCGAGTGACCTCCGAGCGTGGCCACGACACTCAAGTCGACGCCAACTTCGTCGTTGAGCCACTCAACTGCCGCCGCAGACTCGCTGGTGAGTCTTGCAATGAGCTTATCGCGGTCGATCGAGGTCGAGAGATCATGCTGCCACTCGGTGAACCGCTTCCCTGCAGATTTGATCGTGTCGGGGTAGAACGACTCGTCGCTGTCGACACCCCGCTCCCGCTGGAAGCGAGTGTTCGCGCCATTGATTCCGGAAGAGGCCTTGATGCTGTTTCCTCCCGGTTTCGGGGCCCGATCCAGCATTCGCACCGACGCTCCGGCCTTGAGAGCTTCGTGTGCAGCGGCGAGCCCGGCCAGGCCGGAGCCCACTATGATGACTGGTCTCTCGCCCGTGCTTGGGATGGCCATCTTCTTGGAGGCAATGGAGCGGAAAGATCGACTAAGAAAGGTTCGCAGGGTGGAGGGATGGCACAAGATTCTGTTGCAAAGCATGCCAAGGGAGATTGCCGTGATGCCAATTAGGAGCGTGAGTAGCAGCCGTCGAGTGCGCAGCATCTCACGTGTTGTGGTGATGCTCAAAGCAGTCGTGATATGAATACCGGGGTGCGATGGAATAAGTACCCCGGAGAAGTTGGATCAGGCGACTTTTCATGTCGTATGATTGTGAAGTGGCCAGACTCGGTGAGCAGGGGAGCTGGAGAGTGCTGACGACTCGACCCCTCATTGAGGGGTTCACCGAGACCGACCCCTCATTCCACATTCGGCACAAGTTTGGAGTAAATCCGACTTCACCGCTGGGCATGGGTATCAGTGATCATCATTCATCCTTGACTGAACAGTTGGAATTAGGTCTCTGGTGATAAAACTTGATCGATTACGCGCTTCGTAAGTCCACATATACCTAGATCATGTAATCGTCCTCAAAGCCTTTTCTTCCCAATAGCCACAAGCCACCTCGTCATGACACAACCTTTCCGCGCCGAAAACCCAGCCTCTCACGCGTTAGCCTCGTCGTGGCGACGGCTCTTCTTCTTCCTCAGCTCCTGGCCCATGTCAGACCATGGCATATGGATGACAGGAACCCTGAAGAAGCTGTTGCTGTTGTCCTGCAGACCAGCGAGAGCGTTGTACCAGGCCAGGAAGGCGGCGAGCATGCCAAAGGTACCACCGGCGATCTGCAGACCGCGGGCAGCGGAGGTGTGTCCCATGCTGGCGGCGTAGCTTTCGCACGAGAGGAACAGGAAAGCCAGATCCAGGGTGAAGAAGAGGGAGAAGAAAGCCACGGTCGACTTGAGAGTGCACAGCAGCAGAATGGTGGTGAAGATGAACCAGCCGGTCAGGAAGAAGCCAATGGCCGACTGGATATCGGCGGGGTCGGCGGCGTAGGGGCCATCGGTGGCGGACAGAAGTTGCCAGGGCTGAGGAGTCTGGAGGAGGGCGTAGGCTGGGAACAGTCAGAAGGCAGCTCGTGGAGCAGGTGTTGCTGCAATGGAACTCACCAATCCAGAAACCACCATACGACGACAGGGCAGTAGCTCCGAAGGTGTTACCGACGGCCATCTCCCTGGAAGCAGAGTCAGCATTATTCTCGTCACGAATCCTTGTTGGGTGTTGAAATGTTCCACTTACCACATGCCGGCAAGAAGCTGGACGAGGCCGCCGTAGGCAAAGGCCAAGGGGACGACAATGTTGGGGGCGGTGACACCACGGGCGTGAAGGTTGACGGCGGACAGGACAAATGTGGTCAAGGCGAAAGCGCAAAGACCCAGGGGTGCTGGGTTGGCGAACTTGCGGTGCTCGTAGGGCCTCCAGACGCCGGGCTGGAGAGCGCCACCAAAAGCCAGGGCTGGGACATTGTTGCTGTAGCTGGGGTGGAGCTGATGTCCAAAATGTCCGTGGCCGTTGGCCAACTCATGCTGCTGGTCGTGGCCTGATCCGTGAGCATAACCGTTGCTAGTCGTGGGCTGGAAGTCCTTCTCTTGCGAGGCCGGCACGAAGCCGTTGTGGTCTGCACCGCTGGTGGTGGCCATTGCTGGGGAGGGGTGTGGAGGTGCACGAAGGGGAGCTGGACGGAGACGTGGGAGGCGTCAGGTCAGGACTTGAAGAAGGATGAGGATGGGTGGGTGAAAAGACGTTCTTCTCCGCTGGGGTAAATGGGGAGACAGGAATTTAAGCAGTCCCTGGGGCCGGTAGGCTGTGGTGAAGGTTTGGGGTTGAGGATGAGAGGCGTGAGGAGATATGGGGAAAGATGGATCACGACTGGGGCAAAACGAAGAGACGGAAACAGACGCAATGACTAGTGCATTCGGATTTAGGATGAAAGGGAGCTTGCGAGATGGGGCGTTGAGGGTCTAGAAGGGGGCAATGGGAGTCCGTTGGCTGGCAGGCTGACGAAGGCTCCGGGCATAGGGATCTGTTTTGACTCCTTTTTTTTCTTTTCAATGGGGAACGACAGGCGGCCAGGGGGCCACACCACCTCCAGGTTGAGATCACCACAGGCTAGGGGGCCACGGGTGCGAGGATGCGAGGGGCATTTGGTGTCTGATGATGGATTTCCACGGCTGCTCGGCACGTATACGGGCCGTGACCACCCCCTCTCAATCCAGGAACGAAATGAGTAACGGCGCGGGGCCGTTGGGCGACGTGCAGTGCAGAGGTGTTCCCTGGACAGCTGGGCGGGTGATCATGCCCCTCGACCGACGGTGTTTGGGTCGGTCGCCTGTCTTTTTCGTCGGGCTTTTCGATGTGCATCAGGTCGTCATCGCCACAGGGCGTGCCTGGACCAAGGCAGAAAAAATAATCACGAGAGCGTGGGTTCGGTGGGAGATGAGAGTCCGCTCGCCGTGTGTGACGAAAGTCGGATCCGCCGTCCATGCTGTATGGCGCTGAGGGGAGCCGGGTTCAGCGATGGCCTGATGTCATGTCGCCCCTTGGAGGGTGTTCCCACTGGAAATGCTCCATTCTTGGTGCTAAACTGGACCCGGCGCGGTACCCGTTGAAAAGGGCCGGCATATCCGCCGGACGGACTGACCTTTTCACATTATTTGCTGTCATCAGATGGTGTCCAGGTGCACCCACCAGAATATTGACGAATGTCGACTCGCGACTCGCATGTCACATCGCCTGGGGACCAGCATTGGTGAGGTGCTGCGACATCCGGCAGTTGTCAAGTATGGTCCGAATGGATCGCCAATGTAAAGGCTCGGCGTTCGGATCGCCGTGCAGCGCCAGTGAGGCCACGCAAGGTTCCGATCTTGCCGAGGGCTTGTACTATTCTGGAAGCGCGATGGCAGGGGCCTCGGGGCCGGCGTGATGCCCTGCCGCCCGCTACGACATTAGCAAAGTCTTGGGGGTTTAGTGGTGACGACAGGTCGACGTCGGTCGGGAACAACATCGCGGGAATGAGGTAGTGGGAATACGTTTCAGGAAATATGACCCCGATTGGAAGCTTCAACGTGGTGTCGTACATCTGATCGTACGAATGAGCAGATGCTGTTTTCTGGGGGTGCTGGCACAGTCGCCTCACAGGGGCCAGGGTCAGACAGTGGCACGGTGGCGAGCTGGTACAGTACCGACCCGGACAGGACGGACCGGACAGGGCAACAGCCTGAGCGAAGCTGAGCCGCACAACTTGGCAGTCAACCGAGGAATGCTTCCGCGCCATGTCGAAAGATTAATCATCAAGTCGAGTGCCTCTCGGCTTGGCGGAGAGTGTCAGAATGTCACCGCGATTCACCCTATTTTAAAGACTGAAGCCGGCGTGTCGTTGACTTCGGCCGGGGCCCCATTATCAACCCCAAATAT